GAACTGAATTCTATTTGTGCTGCCCACAGAACCAATGCAAAATGACTCTGGCAACAGGAGCAGAACAGAGCGGAGCAGAGCAGAGCAGAGCAGAGGATTATTCCAACTCAATCAGCTCTTAGACAGCCAACAAATCAGCTTAAGACAACAAGTCCGCCGACAAGAGCACAATGCGCATTTAGAAAGGGGAGCCAGCGGGAGAGAGAGAGAGAGTGGGAGAGAGTGAACGAAAAACAAGTCAACTGCAAATATTTGCAAGAGTTTTTTCACACAATTTTTTCGAGTCGAGTTACCCCCAAAAGTCATTGAAAGTCATTTGCCAACTATTTCGACGAGCCGTAGCGCGCAACGGGGGGCAAACAGGCAGCAGGCAGCAGGGGGTCAGCAGGGGGTCAGCAGGGGAGTCAGCAGCGGGGGGCACCTGCACCGCTCGACAAACGAGCGTTGGTCAGTGACTCCCTTTTGTAGTGGCTCCCGACAGTTTGCCAACGACATTTGTTACACTTTGTTTGCCTCTGGGCAACACATCCGCACATCCGTGCAGTGCCTGCTCCTGCTGCAAAAAAAAATAGTGACAATGAAGGGCGGGTGGGCGATGCGACTCCTCTCCAAATCGCATCAAATATCAACCGAGCATACGTTAAATGCTTCAAATTGAGTTAAAGTGCCGCCGCCGTTTGGCATTGAGACCGAATGGCCGCAGCAACTAGGGCGAAGCCGGGCGCGGCGGGGTGCTGCGGTGCGGTGCGGTATATCACAAAAGCCTGCGGCTGTGCGGGCAGCAAAAACTACAGCACACACACACACACGCACGCACACACACACTTACACTCCTGCATATGAGTAAACATGCATGTGCATAGAACTATGACCAGCAATAGCCAAGGATATTTAGTCGCTGCGAGGGAAAGACAAAGAGTTGTACAGTGCTCGCTCGCTTAGTGAAACGCTTGCGAAAATAATTTAATTTCTGAAATGCTTAAAAAGGTAACAAGTGTTCCCTTTAAATGCATGTAGGCAGGCATTCCTAATATATATATATACAAAAATACATGTATATACATATAGTCGAGTCGATCTAGCCATGTCCGTTCGTCCGTCCGTCTGCTCTATTAGTCTTATAGAACAGACTAGTTTTACAGAACATAGCTGCTCTTATTTCCCACACAGCTCAAGTTTACTGAAGAGCATCGATAACTTTGCTTAATTTGCTTGAAATCGATAAATATCGATTTGGAAAACCTCTTTTTTTAAGAGCTGGCGACGCAAAATTTGTCGCACATCCGCACAACGGCTGGAGATACGAGAGTCTACATAGATTCTCATACATCCAGCTGTCGTGCCTGCCTGGTGTTTGTGTGTGTGTGTTATGTGTGCTTATGTTTATAGGGTAGTCAGAATGTTTGAGATAACAGCTCCCAATTATTTGAAAACCATTTTAAATTAAGAAAAAAAGCCTAGAAATTATTTTGTCGTTAAATTGTTACTTATATCTGTAATATTTGTTGTTTTTCTTTGCGTGGCTCCTACAGGGTATGTGACAGTCGTGAACCTATTCAATTGCTTGCGAATACTTTGGCAAACTTTAAAGCCAGCCCGTTTGTTGGTTTGCGCGTGTTTAGACTCCAGGACATGCGGCGCCCTGTCGTCAGCTACGATTCTGCTCTCTGTCATTCTTCCTTCCCCCACCCTTCCCTCTCTCGCTCTATCTCTCGCACAGTTGCTGTCCTGCTGGTTATCCTTTGGACTCGGGTTTTTTGCTGGCGCACGCTTCTGTATTTTTTATTTGTCGCATTGACTTTGGCATGTCCTGGGCAACTGCCCGGCTGGCTTAATGTCCAGGCTGGTGTCTGTGGCGCTGGGCTGGCTGTCATCATTGGCTCGTTCATCGACACTTTGCTTTTTAATCAATTTAACAATTTTTTGTCGCTCTTCGGACGGTTGTGAAGGCGCCTGCAGCGTCAAAACTGAGCTCGTTATCAACAACAACAACAACAACAACAACAACAACAACGACAACAAAAATAACAACAAAGAGTGGCTGCAAGGATATGCAAAAGTAATTGACAGCTGGCTTCGGCCAAGACTTCTTTTGCTTCTGCTGCCTCGAGTTGCTTTAGCATTTCAATTCCTTGCTTTATTGGCTTTTAGAAATGTTGACATTTGTCCGAGTGTGTGTGCGTGCGTGTGTGTGCGCGCGTGTCTGTGTGTGTACATTTGCTAATTAGTTTGCCAAAGCGATAACAACAACAGCAACACTTGCATGTGCCAAGGATTTATCCAAAGTCTCATAGAGCTAAGCATCGCTCAGTTTCAATTTCATTTTCTAGATATATTCTTGCTTGCTTTTTTTTCGAATCTTTGTTTTTATTTTCATTTTGTTTCTTTTTCTCTCTTGTAATTTCGTCTGCCTTGGGCAATATTTGTTGACTGCAAAGTCTGTCTAAAAAGGAAATGAATTCATCCGATAGTTAACTTCTTGTTCTTGTTGTTGTTGTCTGTGCGGCTAATGAAGTTGACTTGCCAGCCAAAAAGGAAAAAAAAACGAGGAAAAGTATTGGCAAACATATTGAAAAGGCGTTTGGGCCATCTCAACCGTACCTAGCTTGAGCTACCATTTGAGCTGTAGATGCAGGGAAAGGGCTTGCACGGGCTAGTTGTTCGCTGGATAACAATTATGTGATTAGCTGGCGCAGACCATTTGATAAGTGCATACAAATGCCATTAATGCCTAATCAAGTAACTGAGAGTGCACAGCCCCAGCCGAAGGCCACAAACAAGGCTGGCTTAAGTACTTGACCTGGCCTTAAAGTGATTCTATGCGAAAATAGAAAGAAGAGAAATGTTTTCAATACAATTTTCTTTTGATTTTTCATTATTAAGAGGAGTTCTCCACGATATAGACGATATAATAGCCAACAAATTAATCGAAGCTATGCAAAGTTTCATGATAATGACATAGAAAATTTAAGGAGAGGAAGAGAGACAGAGGGAGAGGAAGCGAGGAGCAAGGAGCAATAGAGCGAATGAGGTAGAGAGAGATAGTTAAATAGAAAGCATATAAGAGTGAGAAAGATGGAGAGCGAGAACTAGAGAGAGTATGAGAGAGAGGGAGAGAATGAGAGAGGGAGATATTGCGAGAAAAAGAGAGAGTGAGAGATAGCGAGAGAGAGAGAAAGTGAGAGATAGCGAGAGAGAGAGAGAGAGAGAGAGAGAGAGAGAGAGAGTGAGAGATAGCGAGAGAGAGAGAGCGAGAGAAAAAGTGAGAGATAGCGAGAGAGAGAAAGATAGAGAGAGAGTCAGAAAGAGGGTATGTGACTAGTTGAATAGAAACACGAAGCCTTGACTCTGATTCTGATTCTGATCTATATAAAATGGACTATATAATAGACTATTTACTCTCTTTAAAGATCAGGGTAAGAACTCTGCTGGCCGCTTTCAGCTAGAAAATTCATAAAATCCGTTTTGTATCGCAGCAACAATTCTTGTCGCTGTCAGGCTTAAACGTGGCCTAATGAGCAACTTTGGCTGTCTGCTGTTAGCCAAGTGACAGACAGAGAAAGAGAGAGAGACTAAGAGAAAGAGAGACAGAGAGGGAGCGCGAGAATTACTTGGCTAAGTGTTCCTGGGTGACCACTTGCTGTGCCAATCACTGGCCATATCAGTGTCAATTGTTGTCGTTGTCGTTGTTACTGCTGCTGCTGCTGTTGTTGTTGTTGCTGCTGCTGTTGTCAGCGGACTGCAAGTGCATAATAAACGCATTATAATTGAACAATTTACCAGTTTTTCTATACGACAAGAAATTACATACATTCAAAATAACTTTATCAGCTTAAACATCAAAAGGTAGCAGCAACCACTTGGCTACAGGTTGTTTTTGTTGTTGTTGTTGGTGCGGCAGCAGCAACGCAGTTAAATATTTTCCGCTTAATTTAACAGGAATTTCAATTGACAGACGTGCGCAAAATGTTGCAGCGGTCGCGGTAGCTGTTGTTGCTGTTGCTGCAGTTGTTGTTGTTGTTGTTGCTTGCTGCCTGGCAACGCATGATTTATGCACTCACACACACACATGCACACACACGAAGCGCAGCCACGTGGCAGACGGGGGCTGGGGCGCAGTCAATTTCTATTAGGCGCTGACCTTGTCAACATTGTTGCCAGCAACAAACGCGGCCACGCCAGCAACATGCAGCGACGCCGGCAGCGCTGTCGCGTTAAGCGCCGCTGCGGCGCGCGCTAAGTTGACAATTTACTGACAAATGTGTAAATTGCATTTGATCGTGTTGTTGTCTGTTGCTGTTGTTGTTGTTGTTGTTTTGTGGCTGCTTCGTTAATTTATGCGGCTGGCATTACGAGAGGCCTAAAACGCCAACAGCGGCGGCAACTGCGACGCCACGCCAACGCCAACGTCAACGTCAGCAGCAACAGCGACCTTGATCGCAACATTGCGACAGCTTCCGCATTTTACAGTTTCCAGTTGCAGTTGCAGTTGCATTTGCCGTTGCCGTTGCTCGTTAACAGTGCTGCCAACTGGCTGGAAAACGTAACGCATGGGCAGCACTCGTTGCAATTAATTCAAATAATCGAGGCAATTGTGAATATATGTGCACAAAATTGACTGCCACAGCTGACTTGAGTTAATAATACGTAGATATTATATGATATGAGATAATAGAAATAACACAAAATACGGTCTTAATGAATAAGCCAGAAATATGGGGCAGAGGAACAAGTTCTTTTTTACTGGAAATATACAAGTTCTACTCTGAACTAGTTCTCCTTTCATCATATTCTTTAGATTTGAACACCTGTGTCAATTATCTAGTTCCTTACTTAATGATATGCCTTAGTGAAAAAAACCTTCCCACACTGAAACGATTTTTATTGAGAATCCGATTGCAGCTTTGGGCTTGGCACCCAAAAGGATTTGTTATCGAAGCAATATTTAATTGTATATAATTTTTGAACATTCCCATATATTAGCATTAAAGTGCACTCACCTTATGGGCTCTGATGGATGGGCCCCCTGAACAAGCTAATGTAACGTCCACCAGGCTCCCGTCCTGTAATAATTGACTAAACACCCCTAACAGGTTGGATTGATGATTGTTCCACCTCAAGCAGTATTGCTCACTGCCCATGTCGGTGACAGCTTACGCTGCTGTAAATAGACGAAAGAAATGAAACAATGTTAATATATTTTATAACTAATCGTAATATAGAATATATATAGAGTAAATAGGCAGGATACGTGCTATATCTAAGCAAAGAATTGATATAAGAGATAAATAATGGAGTACGCATAAATAAAATATTGTAAAATATAATCCAAAGAGAAAATTAAAGAACTAAGTTCTAATTGCCCTTTTCTCGCAGTGTATATTTTATTTTAATATTAAAACTGTACTTATCAGCTTTTAGCTATAGGACAAAAATGGTTTCAGATATTTCATTAAATATTTTAAGGGGTTTACCTTTTCTACTCGTATTTTAATGAGTTCCTAACTTTTACATTTTCTTGTTATCGCTATCGATTAGTATTGACAACGAAATTCATCAGCCACAAAAATGAATTGGATGATATATAAAATATTTTAAGCACATTTTTATTTTCCATTTTTTATCATTTCATTAAGAGCTTATATATATTATATACACAATTTCCATTAGAAGTTGAACATTCCTATTATCAAATTTTCTCGTTATCGATAAGTATCGACAAAAATGGAAAGGCTTGCTATATGAAATATTTTGAGTAGGATAATTTGCGAACTTAGTTTTACTGTTTCCAAAAAGAGTTTAACCTTCTACATTTTTTAATTTATTCGATAATATTATCGAAAAGTATCGACATAAAAATGTATCGTGCAAGATATGGTATGAAATGATGTATAAAATATTTGAGGTAGGAACATTTATGTTTATTATTATTTCTTCTTTTTTTTTTTTAATAATATTGTTTTCATAAAAGTTCAACATTCTTAATTGTTCAATTTAATTGTTATCGTTATCGATAGATATCAACATGAAAAAGCATAGCGCACAATTTAAACGAGGCATGAGAACAATTTCTTAATTTAACGTTCCAGCGTTTGCTAATTGAAGACATTGCGTAATATTTGCACAGACTCACTCAAACACACACACTCAGTCACACACACACATGCATACTCATATCTTATAGCTGCACATTTCGTATCTCTATTGGTAATTAATGGCAAAGCGTGTGGCTGCATTCGCGGCAGCCGCAGCCGCCTGCAAATTAAAAACGGTCAGGGTTCAAAAATGTCACTGACAGCCTCTTGACAGGCAGGTGGACTGCAACTGGCTAAGAGAGGGCAGCCGGCGCGGGGCGGGGCGGAGCTGCGGTTGGTTTACTGAGGGCGTGGTATTGCCACAGACCGGCTTGACTTGCAATTTTGTTCAGCGCCGCACAGCAAAATATAAAATATTACAAAGAAAAACACATAACTCGGCGTCAAATTGGTTTTTTTTCTCTCTTGTGTATATTTAGGCATAGAAATTTGCTTTAATGGCCACAATTTTTTTTAATATTCAATAACGGCCAAAACTTAACTTAAATAATTATATAAATATATATAATAATAAATATTATATATTTAAATTGTATACATTATATATTATTTATATCTTATTTAAACATTATTAAAATTGTAGAAGTACACAAAACTTAAAGGAAGTTGTTTCGAATAATTTTTAAAAGGGACAAAAGATATTTCACATGAAAAAGTAACCTTTTTTTTAAATTTACAAACTTTTTCTCATCCTTTGGAATAATAAACATTCAACACAGAGTCAAGTTGTTACTAAATTAATTTGTGATAATATGCAGTAATATTCTTTGTTCTTCAAATAGAAATTCAATAAATCAATATCACACTAAGCACAGATTTTTTTGAAACTAAAAAAGTGACTAAACTCTGGACTCTAGCAAAATTGTTGCAGATAGTATTTCCAATAAGACCAATAAGACACACAATAAATTACTTGGCAAACAATTCGAAACGAAGGCAACAAAATATTAAATATTATTGTAAATAGATAAAATATATTAAATATTGTGCTAAGGGAAAGTACATTCACACAAATGTGCTGCGGAGAATTTTCAAGAGCTCTTATTGATTTTATTTAAGATCAATTTTAGGCATGGCAAAATTGAAGGCTTCGTTAAGTCAAAGCAACAAATTCGATTCAAATTCATTCGTTGGCCGTCAGCTAAACGCTTGATATTCAAGCAATCAGCGAAGCAAAAATTAGAAAGACACCAGCAACAACAGCGATAACAGCGACAGCAACAGCAACAAGTACAACAAAAACAGTAATAACAACAAGAACAATAAACATTTCCGGCAGTTGCGAGTGTTTGATAGCTGTCTGTCGCAGTTGTTGCTGCTGTTGTTGTTGTTGCTGCTGTTGTTGTTGCTGTTGTTGTTGCTGTTGCATTCAGCCAGCAACAACATTCATTGGCGCAGCAGCAGCAGCAATAGCAGCGCAAATAATAACGAAGCAATAAACTGTGAATTTATTTCAACAAATAAAACTTTGATTTATTGCGCTACGCACACAGCATGCAACGAGGTGCATGAGTGTGTGCGTGCGTGTGTGTATGTGTGTGTGTGTGTGTGTGCGTGTATCTGGTTAAGTAAAAACATTAACGGCGCACACACACGATAGAAATGCTAGCAAACAGCAGAAGTGGATTGGCCCCAGAGATATTGCCACAGATAACGACAGAAGCAACGATCGAGAATATCGCAAAAAGATCGAGAAGAGATCGAGTGAGAGAGAGAGAGAGAGAGGGGTAGGGAGGCCCGGTTACGAACGTATCGTAAATGTTAAATAGGCGAAAAGTCGTGCGAACTTTTACCAGGCCAGACCCAGAGCCAACCAGTTAAATATCAATTTGTGGCCAAACAACAATGCGAAATGTTGCTGCCGAGAAGCTATGGCCGGGGCTAGCAGCAGCAGCAGCAGCAGCAGCAGCAGCAACGGCAGCAGCAACACGCAATGGCCAAAGGTCGCGGCAAGACGCAAATTAAATTTGCATGCAGCAGCGACAGCCAGCAACAGCTGAGCAACAACAACAGGTCGTCACTTAATTAAGAAAAGTTGCTAGCGTCCATGTTGCTGCTGGCATAGAGGGCAATGTTGCTGGCGTGCCAGGTTGCTGCTGCTGTTGCTGTTGCTGCTGCCCACGCATGATTTTTGAATTAGCGCGCTGTGTAACAGCAACTAATATAATTGACAGTTGCTGCTGCTGTTGCCGCTGCTGCTGCTATTGCTGCTGCTGCTATTGCCTACGTGTTCTGTTGCAGACATCAAACGCTGCACTGCATGCTAAGTAGCTGCTGCAGCTGTCGCTGTGTGGCAGAGAGAGAAAGCGGCATTTTACATTTGCCTGCACTGTGTGCTGCATGCAATTTGGGTCTGTTAATTGTTGTTGCTGCCGCTGCCGCGATTTATGCCGCTTGCATGCTAATTATGAATGCCAGCAACATGTTGCTGCCGTTGCTCCTGCTGTTGCTGCTGCTACTGCTGCTGTTGCTGCTCAGCTGATAACTAAATCAGTCAAAGACGGCGACCGTTAATTGCACAGAAGAACTGAAAAAAAGTACAAGAAACAGCAAACCTATTGAGTTTTCATGCAACTTAATGAGCAACAGGAGCAACAGGCAGCGTAAGACAGGCAGCAGCAACAATTGCTGCTGTGCCTCCCATTGCGCACAGTTTGAGCCAGGGCCTGGCAACTGTTGCTGTCGCTGCTGCTGCTGCATCTTCTTCATTTGACGGCACGATTCAAAAAGTTTTCAATTAAGACGCCGTTGCCGCTGCCGTTGCAGTTGCCGCAGTTCCAGAATTGTTGCTGCTGCTGTTGTTGCGGTTGCTGCCGTGGTCGCTGCCTTAAAACCTCATTAATATTGAAATTTGTTCGTGTGCATGAGTTATTAGCAATTTTCTAATTAAGCGCCGCTGACGAGCAGCAGCTTAGAAGCTTCTCCACTCCCTAGCCATGCCGCCCCACCGCCACACACACACACACACAAACACACACACAATTTCCAATCGAGAGACCGCCTCCGTGTGGAGTAGCTGACTCATGCTTGGCCGATCACATGTGAATTTGAATTTGAATGGCGCCGCTGGACCGCTGCACCACTCGCTGCACTTGTCACACCCACAGCACGCGGCATTCAGCGGCTCTCCCAGTGGCTTCTCCACAAAGGCGCCGCCATCGAAGTTTTTGCAGCGCTGATTTATTTATTTATAAGCGTAATTGCCAGCCGACTTATTAGTGGGCCACATAAATTTTCAGCGTCAAGCGCCGCCCGTTGGGCGTGGCATTGTGTTAAAACGCACATAGCCGAGTTCAGCTACTAACGTTTAAGGCATTTTCCATTTTCATTTAATTTCTTAATTTCTTTGCCAAAATTGTCGGGTTAGAGTCAAAAGATACAAAAAAAGCTAGATAGAAGCTGCAAAATAACGAATTTAATCTTTAAGGGAGCTTTAAGTAAGCTTGGCGCGAGCTTTAAGTGCCCTTTAAGGAAGCTTCGCGTGATCTTTAAGTGACCTTTAAAGAAGCTTCGAGTGTGATTTAAGTGAGCCTTATAGATGCTTTGAGTGTGCGTTTAGTGAGCTTTAAGTGCGCTTTAAAGAAGCTTTAGGCGAGCGTTAAGTTAGATTTAAAGAAACATTGAGCTTTAAGTGAATGCTAAAGCATGTTCGAGTGAACATTTTGATGGGTGAATTGGGTGAGCTTTAAGTGAGCTTTGGATGATCGTTAAACGAGCTTTTAGCTAGCTTTAATTTAACTTTAAAGAAACTTTGGATGAGCCTTAAGCGAGATTTAAAGAATCTTTAAGTGCTATTAAAAACTGCTTTAAAGCTTTAGGTGAGCCTAAAACGAAATTAAAAGAAGCTTGAAGTGCGATTTAAATCAAAAATTGATATAAATTGGATTGCGTGTAACGGACAACAAGAGCAACAAAAACCTAAGTTAGGTAAATGTCTGATTGTTGTTGTTGAATGTTAAATAGCTTTGCAACACTGTTAATTGCGTTGTCAATGAGAGCTGCTTGGAATTCTCATCAAGTTAAGGCTTTGCATAAAGGCGAACAGGCGTTGATCGCCGAGTGACGA